CCGCGGCTCAGAGCTGCGCTTCTCCTGAGGAGTCGGGGGTGAGTGGACGCTCAGGAGGACGGGTCACAGCGGTCTGGATCTGCTCGGATTAAAAAAAAGAATTATTGATTGTCTCTTTTTTTTTTTTTTTGTCCCCCAGTTATGCGTGAAGGAGGGCGGGGCCTGCGTGACCACGCTGGACGGATACTACGTTGAGTGTGTGGTGTGTGTGGTGATAGGCGTGGCCTGGTGGGTGTGGCTTGGGAAGAGGATGAGGCAGCTACAGGAGGAGAGTCCTGCTGCGTGGAGATGCAGGAAGAACCAGTCATGACCAGTTCCCACCACCAGGGCCGTGGACTGAACTGTACCAGTACACACTGGAACACTAGAACTCCCTCTACAGGAGGGAGAAAGAAACACACACACACACACACACACACACACACACTTCTTCCTCTGCTCTAGAACCTCCTTCTGTTTCTTGACAGTTTTTGTCAAACCACAGCTGGACGACACTTTAGTGCTTAATTTACCCCCCCCCGTAAAGACCAACAGGAAGTGACAAGGACTCGGACCCTGCAGTATTCAGTACTGCAGTACTTTGCAGTACTTGATTATCATGTACCAAAGGTTACGGTAGAGAAGAACTATCTGGAATAATACACGGTGTTTTGAAGGTTTTCATGAAGAAAGACTGTTACACAACACCCACCCCCGTCAGTCTGGACGTCAGACCACGTCAGTCTACAGACAGAAGTATAAACATATAATCATAGATAAATGTCAGACGAACTCCGACCAGGTCAGATTATCTGACCTTGTTTTTTTTTTTACATCCTGATCTGAACAAAGGACTAAGATTTCTTGAACTGACTGGTTTTCCTTTGTGCCTTTCAGACGTTCAACAAAAGTTACTTCATCTTTTCTCCACTGTAGAAGTAGAAATGATAGATATTCACAGCGCAGGTGTTTGTGCTTTTTCTATTTTCATACTGGTCCGTCTGTACAGGAGCACACATTCCTTAACCATCTTGATTTTGCACAATGACTATTTATCCAGTTGCTATTTTTATATCCTGAAGGAGAAAATTAAAAAATATTTTGCTCTAATCGGTTTTGAGATGAAATCGACCGAGGCTGCGATCGTTCCCTCGTGCTGTACAGTCCAGCATTTTACTGTTAAAGCCTCTTCTGTTGATTAGTTATTAACAACACACTTGACGACTGGATTGAGGGAATGTTTTTAATTCCAGGGCCTTGGAACCAGCCATGACTTGTAGTTTTTTTGTTTGTCTTTTTTAACACAGAACTCTTTGATCTCTAAAGCCAGCATCAAGATCAAGACGAGACTTTATCAGTTTGATCTCAGTCACATGGTTATCGACTGGACTGAACCTTCACTGTAAAATGATCTTTTTCATGTAGAATATTCATCACCCACTTTACTTTAGACTGATCTCTTTTTCAACTGTGTGCCGCGTGTACTACTACATTTTGTCATTAAATCTGTTATTATTCCACCAATGATTATTTATTTAATTTTTTGTTTTTGTTGACAATGAAAACAGGGTGAACGACTGAAAAATTAAGACGTTAATTTTATACCTGCAAATAAATAATGTGCTGAGAATCAAAGTGGGTTTGAAATTTAATTTTTTCTTTTACTTTCAGTACATAATTGAACCTGTAGGTGGCGCCTGTTCAACATTTTAACAGTTGTTGAAGTTCAATTACTGCTGACATTGTGGTGATTTTTTTACCCGCGGGACTGCACCACAGCATTAGTGTGTTACACTGGATGACGTCACCGGTCACTTACTTCTATGCGTGTCTTCTGCTTGGCATGGTTGATTACAGTGTATCCAGTAGAGGTCGTTGTTACAGGGTTCAGTTACAATATCAAACTTGACGACGGTGATAATCCTTCTGTTCGATAACCGCGGTGACGCCGTGGAGCTTTCACTACAGCGCGGCACGTGGACCGACACATCCCGCGCTTCCGTCGTTTCAATACGGCTAGCCGCCTTCTTCTTGCTGCTCCTTTTATAGGGCGCACCGACCTATACTGCGCAACACTGCCCCCACGGTACTTAGCGGTACTGCTCCGTCACGACACCACTGCTCAAAGAAGGTAAATAACACCATTTGTTTTCTTTTTCTTTAATTTAGGCTCTTTTTCATTCGTCATCAATATATAGCACAATTTACGCATTCATTTAGTAAAACATCGTGGGATGTTAAGCTAAGTCTGTTGGCGTCAGCGGGCGTGTGCGCTGCTCTCAAAGATGATCTTATCTTTTACACAATCACTCATCTTGTTCTTCTTATTCCCAACAACCAGAGCCAGGAAGCATTATGGTCTGTCTCACACTGACACACCGTCAGACGTCTCCCAACGGAAGCAGCTCTTTATGACCTTCACACTTTAACCGCTTGCATACTGGTTAACTATTTGTCTTCCTGATCACGTGAAGGCTGTGTCTCCACGAGGACTTCAGTCCCAGAAGTCCACTTCACAGAGGAGGAGGAAGAGGAGGAGGAGGAGGAGGTGATGTCACAGGTGGTCCTTTAACCTGCAGCATGTCTGAGTCCCAGACCCACGCACCAACTCCAGCTCCTGTCAGTGTGTGTGTGTGTGTGTGTGTGTGTGTGTAGTGTGGCATCCGCCTGTTTTTGCGTCTTTTCTTTAAAAAATATCAATAAAGAAAAAAGTCAAGTAATAACTCTCCGACACTGGCGTGGTGCGTCATAGGTTCATACGTAGGTGTTCGGGACGTTTGGCCGCGACGGGATAGGCTTGATGCTTCATCTGGCCCAGGTTGACCCCCGTGGGCTGACGGATGGGGAGCGGGGCCGAGGCCTCGGAGCTGGACGTGACGTCCATCTGCTCAGGAGTGGACAGCTCCATGGCCTGGACCTGAGGAGACTGGAGGACACCTGGTCCTCCAGTGGTGAGGAGTGGACTCCGAGGCCAGCAGTCGCCGGCCGGGAACTTGACTGGGCTAAAAAAAAAAGAAAAAGAAAAAGAATAAAGAAAATGGGAAGGAGATCAGGGCACAGACCAAACAACCTGCAGGAGTCAACAAGGTCAACAAGGTCAACAAGGTGAGAGCCTCAGCACCAACACCTCTGACCCTGGATGGACGACCTTTAAACTAACGGTTCCCACAGACTGAACAGAAAAGAATCTGAATTTAAATGTCAACTGAATAAACGTTCTTCAGTCTCTCGCCTCAAAAACTACAGGACGGGAAGGTTAGAGTTTGTCACATCTGCCCCCCACAGGAACCATGCAGAACTACACCAGGAAAGGGGAGTAGGGGTGGGGGGCTGTGTGTGTGGTGTGTGGTGGGG